GGAATAAAGCCTTTACTGCATCAGAATGGACAATCAACCATGATGTACGTTCTACTTATGAGCACGACAAATGTAAAAAATAAAAAATAAAAACTGCTTTAAAAGAATGAATGATCCTTGTATTGTGCTTATAACGCATCTGAACTGTAATAAAAATACATATGAAACAATAAAGCTTCATCCATGCCCAACTGTTTTCACCTTACAAAAGATTATTGTCCCAGATAGCAAGGATAACTTGCCACAAACTTGTGGCAGGGCTACATTGTAATTCTTGTTAACTTGCTGCACACATTCCTGACAAGTTGTAGACTTGCAAAACACTTGCAGCACAAGTTCTAGTTGACACTTTTTGAATTTGTAGCAAATTTGCTTGGCAAGTCTACAGCAAGAGTCCTGCATGTCTTACCAAGAGCTCTGCAAGTGTACAGCACTTTTGCAAAGCACGTTGATCTGGAGACTTGCAATGCAGACTTGCTGTAATTGTGGAACTAAATTGTGAAGCTTGGCAAGTCTGCAATAGTTTAGCAAGTCATATTCAAACTTGCAGCTCAATGGCTTGCTGTCTGGGGTAGTGTATCGGGGAGATTACCCTTCACTTTCTGTCCCATAGACACAACAGTAAATAAAAAGGAAATCTCTGCAATATGAGGGAAATCTCCTCGTAGACAGCTGTCATCGAAACAGGTGTCCTTATTGGAAGAATTCCCATTCATTCCTGTTCTGGGAATAATTGAAAATGTTGGTATTAGTATCACTTTCAGTCACAGTGACAAAAATCACCAGGGCAAACAGAGAGAGGGTGTGTTTCCACTCAGGGGCACAGACAGCAAAAAAAAACCCATAGGGGTTCTATGCCTTCCACACGTCATCCAAGACAAAAAAAAAATGTGGCTATCCATACAGTTTAAGCAGTTCTCTTCAAAGTCATAATTTCTATAGAGGTAAATAAGGTACAATAGGTGAATAACAGTCACACACACATAAAAGCTGAAATATTTAATTAGAAAGACATTGTGCCGAGTCCATGTTACTCTTCATCACAGTTTCAGCAACACACACATAAAAAACATTATATTGGTGCCCGATGCTTGACAACGATATACGGCAAAACAGTCTGCTCAGAAAGCAGTACTGGACTTTCCCAGCACTATTCTGTGGCCTTACCACAGGCATTCTGCTACTTTTTAGGCCTCGTTCAGACGGACAGCAGGCTCCACCGTCTCAAAGCAATCTGCAGGGAGGCAGAGCAGTGGCTGCCCAGTGTTCAGGTAATACTGCCGCCTACGATATTTAGTTTTTTTTCTTGTTATCCCAATAAGGCTTTTCTATTGCAGTATCGCATGGCCCTATTGTTTACAATGGTCACGTTTGGCAAGTGGGATCGTGTGCTAAACACAACATGCTGTGGAAAATGTGTGTGGCCATGGCATGTGTAAGGGTGCATTCACACTTTGTGGTTTGGAATTCCTGCAACAAGAACCCAGGGATTCCTGAGGCAGCTGTTCCATTTAGCTGTGGCTGCTGTTACTCATTCGGTGTTGACTGGCATTTGTAAACGGCAGTCCGCAAGTGACTCCTTCCACACGCATGATACGATTACATGTGGTTTGGAATAGATCACGGTTCCTGAATGCATTAATCCTGCGTCCAGGGACAGTGATTACATGTGGACTGTCACTTACAGATGTGGCCACTATCATCTAGGCATTCACTTGAACATGTGAAAACGGTTGCGTTAAAACAGGATCTCTGGGATTCCTGCCGCAGGAATGTGTAGATTGCTGCCGCAGGAATCATAAATTGTTTACTGTGAATATAGATGTACAGGGTAATTCCACTTTCCCAGGTGAATTTGGGAAAATGTAATTACCCCCTCCAATCGGGCCCCCTTCCCCCCGCTTTACTTACCTGTGGGCGGACGCTTCTTTCCCGCTGCTGGTGTACTATCTGTACTCCGTACATGGGAATGCAACCAGGTGCTCTATATTTTAAATTTTGCTCGCAAATGGCAAATGGCAAGCACTCATTGGTTAGCCTATTAACCTGACCACACTAATCAATGGGAAGCATCTATTAGCAAGAAGCGCTTCTCATTGGTCAGCACGGTCAGTCACGGTGACCAATAAGTGCTCGCCATTTGTGGGCGAAATTTGAAATACAGAGCGCAGGGCTGCGCTGCTGTGTATGGAATACAGATAGTACAGCGCTAGTAGAAGAGGGGAAGAAACGTTCCCCTAAAGGTAATTATTGCAAGGGGAGGAAGAGGGTGCCAGAATGGAGGGGGTAATTCAATTTTCACAAATTCACCTGGGAAAGTAGAATTACCCTTTACAGCTTAAGCGGCCACTATATTAAGTTTTAGGTCAGGAGATGGTAAAAAAAAACGCAGACTGTTTTTACCGCCCCTCGATTGCCTGTGTGAACGAAGCCTTAAAAAAAAGAAAACCCTTATGGCACATTTATATAGCACAGGTTTGTGTGTAACATATGTGTTTTCCACAGCGTTTGCTTTGGGGCTCTGAAGCAAGTGAAGCCCCATTCATTTGAGTGAATAGGCAGAAAATATAAATGTCAGGAGGAAACTGGTCACATGACACTGACAGGTCATCTGACTAGTTTCTCAGATCACAGAGTATTCTCTGCATCGTAATGCAGAAAATACTCAGAAGATTGCAAGCTCCAAGTTCTGGGCTAAATTTCACAAATGATGTGTAAAATTCACACATTGTAAACACTGAAGTGTCCTTTCAAGAGTCCATAGCATTATCTGCTCTCTGTTATATATTATCCTCTTATGGCTTTTTAAAACCAAAATAATCTCTGAATGCTGCATTCAGTGAAGGAAATTAAGTATTAAGGAACAACTGATAAATTATTATTTTGATTTGAGTGCATCCTCTGAGATTTAATGCTCAGAGAAAAGGGTGAAGCGGGAAAAAAACCCATCATTGATAAATGTATTAAATGTCTACCAAGGTACGTAGACAGAACCCTATATCACGTGGTTTGTAACTATGCAGAAAACAAAGTTAGTCGTTTGGTGAGGGAATAAAAACACAAATTATTTAGATATCATTTATCTGAGGCTTAATAGCGCAGTGTGGCAACTGCTTATGCATCAGGTAACGTTCATGGTAATAGCTGTAATTTCCGTTCCCAATTAATCATTAGTTTCACAATGAGTGGTTATTTTGACATTAAGCATTTGTTTCAAACATATATCTGAAGTCCTCGTCCCCTTGCCAGAGGAGCACACTGTAGCGTGATCAGCTATCACACATACAGGAGAGAGGCGGTTTTTGAGACTCAGACTACAGATCTTGAATATTTATAGATCACAGACTGATGCAACGTGCAAAGTTATTAGCCAGTTTGCATTTAGTGAGTCAGTATTGCCAGAAAATCTATAGTAAGACCACAAAAACAAGCACTAATTAAAATTTTTAAGAGTAAAGATGTATTTACTGGTAAGCAGGAAATACAAATGTGATTATCTGTGTCTTCAGTAATACAGTTCTGCAATCTGATCCAAGTGGCGGAAAATATATCATCTGTCCTGAAATGCAGCAGAAAGGCTTTGATTCTCCCAAAATCTGGTGTAATTTGCCTATCTCAAGGTGCAATTTGAACAAGATATCATGCATATTTTGAATGGGATTATTCTTCTCCAAAAACTAGAAATTAACCGAACAAGGGGATATACCAAACCATCAGTAACATGCAAAATAAGTTTGCAAATTGAGGATGTCGGGATGCACTGTACTGTTTGCAGTCAATGTAAACAGAACCTAAAAAAAGGTTGTTTTTCAAATATATTTCTTGATCAAATTTCTCTTTCAGCACATTGTATGAGTAACAGTGTAAGCAGACTGTACATTTTTTATAACCGTTTCAGTAGTAAATCACTAACCCATCCTAAAATGAGATTCTGATACTGCTTAAGAAAATGGCATATAAATATAATAGGCGGTTTCATCCCATGCTTCACAAATGATTATGGAGGTTGCCTATCACAACAAAGAGACACTATTCAGGCAAAGGTAGCAGACCAGAGCCAGTGGCCAGAGGATGTGGTTACTGTTTCTATACTAGATTTTCCCAGTTTCTATTGGTCCTGGGGTGCAGTACAATAAATTAAGGCTAGTGTGCAGACATTTGCAGTGCTGGTGTGGCTGACAGAATGGTGAGAGCAAGCGGCGGAAGCCTGCTAGATTGGTGAGAAGGGGCTGGGGCATTTGGCACATTGGTAAAAGTGTGGGTGGGGGTTTGGGAAATCTGGCGAGTGGTGAACGCACTTGAAAAAGTAGTGTGTGTGGGGGTAGGTGGTGGGCATTTGGCTGAGTAGTAGGGGGCATTTGACAGAATGATAAGAGCAGGTGGTGGGTGTTTGGCATAGTGCTAAAAGCACATGCTCTCAAGACTGCTACCACAGATGCTAGCCTAGTGGTGAGGCACTGTGCACTGCTTGATACCCTGACCATACTCATGGTCTGCTGTATATTTCGCCAGGGAAATGGGCTTAGCTTGTAAGGTAGCTGTCCTCCTTCACTCGCGGTGGGAGCTGGGTAATGTGTCAATCACTGATGTTGACCAGCTTTGTACGACAACAAAGAGCTTCCACCATGCCCCCCTCTCCCACCACCACCATATTCCTTCCTGGTTTTCTCAATTGTGCATTGCAGACTTGTCAACGATCACAGCAAATGTGACTTTACACACTGCTGCTGTGCCGCACATGCACGTTATTGCTGTCATATTTGCGCGGTTAGGAGAACCAGTCTGTGGCAGTCCAGAGAAAAATGTTAAATTGATCACTATTTTAAAGTTATCTTTTACATCCTATAGCTATTCACACTGTTAGCTATTCACACTTCTACTGCTTAACCTGCTATTTTTTTATTTTGACTTGCACATCTCATATTTTAACGTTGAATAGAGAGGAAAAATAAAATTACATTTGATTTACTGTGATCTTGTAAAATAATTATTTGACTTACCAGGTATATCCGAAAAGGTATGTAACGAAATCCTCCTTCTTCTGTGGAACACTCCATAAGTTTTCGGTTTATGGCCCAAAATTGGTCAAATTTATCTAGAATAAATTCATGAATAAAGTTAAGCTTCTGGACAGAAGGTATTTAGAAATAGGCTTATTTCATATAAGTACTCAAAGTAGAACTCTAGTCAAAACATTTTGTCTGTATGTTTAGCTAAGTGGGACTGAGTTAAAGCAATTGTCAGTTCTTTTTTCTGGAATTCTCACCAGCAAGAACCAAACTCCTTCCTATTGTGCCATTAGGAGAAATCTCCTCAGTGGGAAAAAAAGACTGGGATTGTTAAAAATGCATCTATGGGTGTGCTAAAGACCCACCTCTCTAAAAAAGTAAACCATCTCATCAGGGCCAAAAAAACACAAAAAATAACTGATACTGTGGTAATATTACATAAATAGAGTGTCTGGGAGTTAAACTCCACAAAGCTAGCCTCCTAGACTGGTTTCATTTTTGCCACAACTGGTATATATACTCATATATCAGGGATGCGCAATTCCTATACCCCAGCACATGCAGTTCCTTGAGCTGGGCAAGTGTTTTTTTTCCCTAAATTTAGCCCTGCTGCAGGCAAGCAGTGCTAAATGTAGAGCAGGGGAGCCCCTTTGTAACATCTGTGTCCCCTCGGATACCCACTGCCTCTGCCAACACGGGTGGGGGGGAGAGAGCACCAAGCATCGGAGGGGACACAGTCTGGCGCTCAGTGGGGAGGAGAGAAGCAGTCAGGATGCACTGAATTGCGGCCGCATATTCGGCCATTATGGTACTTTCAGCATTTGGCCCAAAGTACAATTTTCGGACAACATTTCGGTGCATCCCTAATAAATATATATGTTTAAAAAAATGTATTCCAATGAAAATTGACATTTCTATTTCAATAGGGAAATCAGGGACCAATTTCCAATCTCGATAGGTGTGCAGAACATGAGAACCAACCCCCCTAAAATATAGTCAAAATTCCACACCATTTGTGGCCTTATTATGCACATCAACCAGTGAAGCTTATATTAAATGGATTACACTATAGGATCTAGCTGACCAGGCAAATTTTTTAGAAACTGACATTTAAGTGGTATGAACTGCATGTGTGTGCACTGTTGCCGTTTCACAAGGGTTCATATATATTCTCTAGCAGTGCCTCTCTTTTCTTAAACTTTTTTACATATTGCCTTCGATTTTCAATTCTTTACATTTACCATAACCTATTTAGGTTTCCTGTACTCATAACAGTTTCCCCATTATCATGGGTTCTATCAGATTGTGTGTGCCATTCGCACACCCTTGTTCACTTTCACCTTCCATTTTTAGGTCTTCATTAGAAGATACACCATATCTTTTATTTTTAGTAAAAGTTGAACCCCCTACAGTTACCAGAAAACAACAATGCAGTTATGCATTCATTAAAAAATCATTTACATGCAAAAACTATAAGCAGAAGAACTTGTGTTGATGCCAGCATTATGTAATCCCTAATACAGCAGCTCCCTGCTTCGTCCAATCAGCAGGCTGGGGGTGAGTTCTTGACCAAGTTGTGCTGCTTCAGCAGAGGTTCGGCACCTGGGTATGCAGTCTGGATTGCATAACTAGCTTTACAGACTTACAAACCCTTTTTCAGGCAAGGTATACCGTACAGGCAATTTAACTGTATATTTCACTGCTTACCTGAAGTTAAAGGAGAACTATGAGGTGAGTGATTTACACTCATCCTCATAGTTACAGCCAACGTGTGACAATGAAACTGATCGGGAAGTGAGCGAACACATAACGTCCCTCGCTCACTTCCCGATCATCTCCCTGCAGAGAGCGGTGACTGTCGTCACCGTTCCCAGCAGGTACTCCCCCCTCCCCTCTCTGATCATCTAGCACTGACTGACGGAAGGGACGGGGAGGGGGCGGGCACAGTGGGCCCTGCCTCTAGATAGGCAGAGCCTGCTGTCAACCAGCCAGCTGGGTGGATCTCAACAGTATTGTCAGGATCCGTTATGGCTGTGGCGCTCTCATTATATAGCCCACTATATACTGAGCTTTGGGTCACAGGAGGAGGTTAGTATATGTCCACCCGTGACCCTAAAGAGAACTATGGGATAAAAAGGTTACCCCATAGTTCTCTCTTAAGCTGAACAGTTGCACATTAACATGCAATTTTAAAGCGATATTAAAAGTCAAAATGTTTCTAAGCTATTTCAAATTACTTACAATCACAGTCAAAGAAGTTCATGCACCTTTTTATAAAATCGCAGCGCACCAAAAAACATGTTACCATGCATTGTGGTATGATGCAACACACATGTGATGTCTAACTGTGTTGCGGTGCTATGAAGATATAATGGCACTTCAGTGTACCTAACAGTGCAGCAAGCAATCTCATGCAATACCAGAACGTATGCGTTCCTGCATCATGAAAATGTGAATGGAAGCTTAATGCATAAAAGTATATTCTTGTTGCCTCTTGGAACCAGAATTTCCTGATTATTTTGCCAAACTGCACTGAAATTTGGAAACTAAGAGCAACAAAACTTTTCTCTCTTGAAATGTTTTATGCACCACTGTTTGTTTGGTTGGGGACCAGAGCCAAGTCATTTCATGAAAGGGTTAGGCACCAGCAGAGAAAGTGTCACTTGCTGCAAAAATCACCTCATTGAATTACAAGAGATAAGAACTAGAGTAAAAATCCCCAGACAAAGCAAGACATGAAATCTAAAGCAAAGGAACTAGATGGCTACCCAGTCACAAGAAAGCTTTTACAATTCAAAATGAAAATAAATAATTGGTTACATGACATCATTAGACACACTAACATTCACTAGGCCTCCTTTAATGTGAAGAAGACAAATGCCACATTTGGCTTCTGCCTTCAAACAAAAATCTGTAAATGATCCCCCCCTCCACAAGAAGCAACCGCATCAAACGCAGATTATGTAAATATTAAATGACTGCATTTCTGGATGACTCTTATGAAGATATTTTCCACATTACACCATCATGATTCCTGAAAGTACAGAGCAAAGGTAAAGCAACAACAAGACAAAGACATATTAGAGGGAAACATATCTTTACTTTATTCTAAAGAAAAATGAAAGCATATACAATGTATGTTATTTATATTACTGCTAATTACAACTTTCCCCTTCGTGTCTCTGTGTACAGAAATAGTAGAGTAACAGGCAAGAAGAGCTCATGCTCACTGGGAGTTTAGAGCTGAAATTTAGGAAAATATATCAAGCCAATGCTTCTTACTGATCACCAATGTCTTAACTGAGCCTTTTGGCTGAAAGTGCAAATAAAGTTAATAAAAAACATGTAGAGCTTTTAATTAGGAGTGAATTTGTATCTCAAAAACTCAGTTACCCATCTGCTAGCACATTTCCTGTACACTGCCTATGGCACTTGCATAATGCAATGCACATTATCTGCAGCATGCCGAAAGTAGGACATGGGACAATGTAGCTTAGGTGTCCATGCACAGCATTTATATTATCAATGTACAAGCTAATAAATGGAAGATGCCGAGTCTGAAATAGTAGCAGATGGCAGAGGAAGGGGGAGCACAAACCTTGCACTGCTGGAGGAGGGCAATCTCAGAGGAATGTCTTCCATAAAATAATTTCATAAAACTTGCGGATTATGAAAAATGCTGCTTTGACAACACCCCACCTGCTCCCGATATAGTTTAGCATTATAGTGTATTTAAACAAAATAAACATTCCCTAGTTTTGCATGGAGTAGATGTGAGATGAAATTTCTCTAAAGTGAGTGAAAACCCCCTCTTGGATAAGTGTACCTATTGTGAAATTTCACATCACCTGCTGTTGTGGTGACAACTCTAAAATTTTAGCTATCCCTTTGATTTCTGACCAGTGAAAATGGCCTCCAGGACCTGTAGAGAGGATGCATCTCTCCAAAAGGAACACAGGCAGTATTAAAAACCTGCAAGATGTTCTAGGCCTGTGCTCAGGGAGTACAGAATAAGGATCAGAATCACCTATTAAATATCCCCTTATAGCTGCAGTGTAAACCAGCCCTTCATCTTAACCCTCTACCCATTAACTTTAACTATAGCCAGACCCATAGTCTAATGTCCAACACTAATTTAACCCCTGTAGTATAGCCAGGCAATGCTACTATGTACTTTGGCACCCAGGAATTTCAGACTAAGAAGTTCCAGAATGTTAATAGTTTTACAGGGGGAGAAGCTTGCTTTTCAGTTCCTTACGGATTTTCCGGATTGCAGCTGGGATCTGGAACTCTGGAGATTTCTAAGGTTCTGGGTGGGATGAAATCCAGGTGTTGGCCAAGTGTTGCCAATGACCAGTCTAGGCTGATTAAGTTGCCGGGAGCAGCCTTTTTAAGAGAGTCTGTACCAGAGCTCAGGGGAGGAGTTGTGGGTGTGAAGGAGGCACACGGTCATAAGCAGACTCTGGTGTGTGCTGGAAGCACATATGGAACAGCCGGGGAGATTGGGAGAGGTCGAGAGAGTGGGTGGCACCTGAGGGACCCATTGGACAGACTGAAAAAAGGTAAGTGACACGCAGGAGGTATGGAGTTGCCAGAGTCCCACAGGTGTGAGGTGAGCCGCTTGGTGCTGAGGAAAGATACTGAGCGATACTGAGGAGAAATACAGTAAAGTCCTGGGACTGGACTCTAAGGTTGTGGGCAACCAGAAGTTGTTGAGACCTTTACAAATGTTATTTTGCTGAAAGACAAGTAAGCTTTGTGTTATTATGTTGGAGAAACCCCAGTGAGGCAAAACTTATGTGAACTTTTAAATTAAAGTGGGCAGGAAGCCCTAAAAAAGAAGATGTTTGCAAGTGGACTATGTCCTTCACGCACTACCATTTGAAGCAAAATCTCACACCCCTTAAAAATCGAGATTTACCCTTTTGGAAGATGCAGGTACCCTAAACTAACCTTTAGGATCCCTTTAAACCTGTGCGGTCTGATGGGGTGCATTATATTATGCTGTGGGAAGTTGCACATTAACATGCAACATAATTCACACAGCATAATATACTGTAATATAAGGCAGTCTATTCAATAGGCT